GTCCGGAAGTGACTAATTATGTTCTTGGCTGTGATATTATCTACTGAAGCCTCAGAGTAATTACATTCCCTCTTATTTCTTACATTTACTGCATGCTAAGAGCCGCTTTTCATACTAATATATGCTACTTCACCTCATTGGTTCTTGCCCAATATTAAAGACTTCTCTGACGCGGTAAATAATCTACGAGCCACCATGAGCATTATTACGCATTATCGGGATTATGCTAACTTAGCCGAGTTGGGCCATCCATTCCTTCATTTTCTAGCATATTTTATGTAATTGCACCACATGCCACCAAGTTTACTCTTGAAACATCTTTCATGCCCCTTCAAGTTGAGCCAGCGGTAATAATTAAGTATGGAACTAATCAAGATTTTAAATTACCTTTAAAATTTTGAGTTTCTTGATCCTTATAACAATGAATTAATACATAGTTATCAAAGCACGTATTTATATTTCAAATTTACTTATTCATTTTTCACTTCACAGTATAAAGCTTGCTGCGCAAGCGTTGCGTGTCAGCGAGTGCAAGCTCAACTTTGTGCTCGTACTTCTGCTGTGCTCAGTGTTTGGTTAATTCAGATTAGCCTGGGAAATGAGATCTCGTTCAAATTTTGGGCCGCTATTATTATAAAAATAAAATATATATGTTAAAATTGTTCAAGTGAGTTAGAAGCACGTCTTATGAATTTATTTTTAGTAAGCTCGCATTTCTTTTATTCAAGTCACTTTTGGAGAATATCCACTGAATTTCAAATTTCTCTGTTCTCTATTGGATTCAAGGATTTGTCCTAAAGATGTCCATTAAAATGCAAGTAAGGTTTTATTCGTTTCAAAAGATTCGAAAATGCAAATTTTCCGTGAAGTTCGTATCAAAATCGGTTGTGTAAAACAAGAATACAATGGTAAAAACAATTGCTTATAAATTAGTATGGCGTATGGTGTTAATAAGCTAATTAAAAGACTTGATTTCGAACATTAACACATTAAGGATTTAAAATATCTGTTAATTATCTAAACATGATTCCTATCTATAACACGTACTAAATATTCCCTTCAAAGCAGGTAAATCGAGAGCCAGCATTGAACTTATATCGAACGTGTAAATTAAAATCAACTATAACCAAGATGTGTACAACATACACGCACCAAGCAAACGATTTATACAAATAAGTAACCGACTGTTACAACTTGAAATTCTACATTGGGAGTATCATTCATTTATTCCGAATTATTCATTAATTTCTGAATAGTCGTATTCGCTTATGCATCATCGGTTCGAATGTCGAAAAACTCAGTTAAGTTAGTTTAGTCCAAAACTTTTTAAAAATTAGTCAGTACCAGCAAAAGAAAACGAAAATCTGTCATCGTATATTGAAGCATTGTCAAAATTTTTTTATCCGTCTGCAAATTGGGTGATATTGGCTTAGAAGTGAAATTAAAATCCAGGCCACATTATCATATCGGCTCGTGGAGGGAAAAATTGTATCAGTTCAGTAGTGTCCAAGCAAGCTTGTTTCAGGTTATAAGGATACGCACACAGTGAAAGCAGGTTGCCAGCGTGCTGGTTACCTGCTCAGGCTGGCGCCTGAAACCATAGAATACAGAAGCCTATTCGTACAGGTTTTCACTGTGAACACTTACATTATTACCTATGTTCATTCTTGTGGCAGGTTGGAGCAGGTTGCCCGCGCGGGCAAACCTGCTTTCACTGTGTGCGTACCCTAAGGGAATACGGAAATATGGAAGCCCCGGGCATATTTTGAGAACGTGAATTAATTTTCCAAAAACTCAACAGAAACCAGTGAAGAATTAATTAACGAGAACTGACTGATCTAGAGAATGTATCAATCTAACCAGAGTGATTTTTAGGTATGTCTTTACTAATGTTATTCAACCCATATTTCCCATTTGAGGGCACAAGCTAGAAGATGGCAATATTTGCCTTGACATGCAGACCATTCAATCAATAAACACTTTCACGACGACTGGCTTGCAGTAGTCTATATTCCGCACGCCCGTCCAATCGGTTAAGCCGTAAATTTTACGGTTTGTACTGAAACGATTGAGAACTTAAACCCCAAATATATCAGCTAAAGAATAGATCATTATATCGATAGGATCAGGTTAATTTTTATCAATCAATAACACGTTTACATACCTTCTAACAAAATGCCATTGAAGTTGGTTAGGAGTTGTGGTGCCAATATGGGAACTTTTACGTAAATGTAGCTGTTTAAATGTAACGATAAGAGCTCTAGGCATTAGAATAATAATTTAGCCTTGCGGCAAGTTGTGCAGCCCAATTCTACTCGACACAAGCAATTTCAAAAACAATAATAACGATGGCCGGAACAATTGTGGCAATAGTATTTGGTACGTAGGGTTTAGGACCTTTTATATATTATATAAGATAGAGCATATCACAGTTATGGTGGTTTGCAGGGAGCCTTTATCCTCTTGTACCGCAAAAAGTACTAAGTAGGAAGTTAAGCTCTTCGTCATTAGTTCCACCGCAACCAAACTAAAATATCTCAGTTAGGCTTTATAACGACCCAGGATTCAACTACCTAAGTCAGCAAATAATCTACGTGGTCTACTCCATAGATATTTGGAATAATTTATTTTACATTCCGTTTCAAAGGTAATTATAGGTGTTGGCCAGAATAAATTTTTTTAATGATGGGTATTAGCGATCCCGATGAAGTCTGACTATTGACTAGACCTAACCAGCGTCAGAAGTTGAACTACGACTAATTGTACGTTAAGTTTTTATTACCTGTAGGCACGCCAGCGACGAGAAAGAAATTCAATCGACTCTCAAAAATGAAAACCTAATACTAACAGAACTAACATCGTTAAACGAGATTATATTCATATTCAAACTTATATTCATGTGTTTGTGAATTTGGGCGATTTAGGTTAAGGAATGGAATGATCACAAGGTTTATTGCTGAATTTCAAAAGGTTGAATCAGATGAGAATCATTAGATTTTATATGATCAGAACCATTTGGTAATTTGAGCTGGACGCTCGACGACGTACTGTTGGGAATAAAAAACTTGCTTGTATAAAAACTTTCTCACAATATTTCCGATTGACGGCAGCACTGTACTCATATGAACGTACATTTCTGTTTAGTGGAAACGGTGACTGGACTTTAAAAGCGTTTTGTCATCAGAATTTTCTGCACTGCGAGCTTGTAACAACTGTTCACCAATAGCTGGCCAATAGCTGTAATCAACAACAGACGATTCGAGAAATTTGGAAATGACATCGGAGGAACCTGTAACTGTGGACATGATGTTCGTGTTGGTCGAACTGTGGAATTTAACTGTGGACATGCTACTGAGTGTTGGTCGAATTCGGACACCGCATCGAAATAAGCATGCCCTGCATTTGAAGGCGAGTATATCGAATAGTTTTAGAAAGATATAAATTAACTTTTTGATCTTCACACTAACTGAAATGAAATTAGTGCATTTATATGTTTATGAACGTTTGGAAGGTAGACAACGTCATAGCGGAAGATTATTTTTTGATGGTACCTTAACTAATGAACTGCTGATGCATTAGTGAAACTACTGGAACCGATTTGTCAGTATTTTAAATGTATCTTAATTTCGACGCCTATTTTACGCCCAAACAAGAAATAATCCACCTGTAATTGGAATTTTAATGTTGAGGTCAAATGCCTCAAAGTGGTTGGCATGGACTTCAGTGGATCGATGGGCACATGTGAGGGGTGAATGAACGCAATGCTATTTCTACGGATCCGTTACTCGTCGTCAATGATATTCGTTCCTAATGGTCAGTCTACCTTAGTAAAACTAGTAACAAGGCTGACCATCGCGCCGAGAAATGGTGCCACCGTTCTGAGCATCAAAAATGATTGAATAGCGGAAGATCTCGAATCAACAAACGCCTTAGATTAAATTTGCGTGTATAATTAAGCAGGCAGTTACCCTGTCACTTTAACATTTAAATACTCCTACACGCGGAAGATATTCATAAGGATTTAAATATATTGACAAATTCTTAGGAAGAATGAAACAATTATATGTCATTTTTTGCCGCGCTTGTTCACTGGACTAAATCACAGTTCACGTGCAACGCAGTTGAATTTCTGTATGGTATCTTGATTAGCAGCCAACAGGATACTAAAATAAGTCGTTAAAAGGTTGAATCACAACCAAAATATTTCCATGCATCTGTAAATGTTATATATTCAATCCGATTCACATAAAATGATGGTCGACTATTACAGCCACTAACAATTAAACAGAATTGAAGACATATTATAGCTATCTACATGTAAAATGTCTTGAAGATTTAACCAATATTCGCTTGTATAGCGTACCGGAGACGTGTTACAGATATTTACAAGTAAAGCATACTGAAATGTGCCGAGCGTGTAAATTAAAGCGCACTGAGGCGTGTCTTTTTATCGAGGTACGGGTTTTAGTGAGAATAAAATTTTTAATCTTGCGCAGCGACAGGCTTGATTCCAATCGCGTTCGATTGTTATGGCCGTTGACCTGGCGGCACTTTGAATAACTATTTGAGAATGCGCCTGATACTGTGGAGGGATCATGCCCTCCTTACTCGCCAATTATCAAGTTTGACTCGGTGTTAATTTGAGCCTTCACGGCACAATAAGCCCTAGCGGTCATTTGTATCGAACCTCTGTGAAAGTTTTGGATTGAGTCCAATCAACTTACTTGTTCGCTCAAGAAGAATCTAAGTTAAATTTTCATCTGACGTGCGCCACTCCCTACCGTTCTCCCGGGAGTCACGTGTAAATTAAATCTGTCTCAGTGACACGAACGCACCCGTCGCACGTGTACACTGGTGACCGCAGTTGTGGGCCAACGCATTGTCACATACAAAGCCCTTTAGACAGACGACGTAGTAAGAGTATTGCTGAAAAGCGATGCGCGAATGTGAGAAATAGCTTCCTAAAGATACCAACTGAACTGAAGCAATAGTGACACGAGATGCGTATAGGAATTGCTCTACTGATAGTCGGGTTGGGGCTGGTGCGGGAAGGTCTTGGTCGCTACAAAGAGTGGATGCCGGTGTCTGCAGACCCTGCTGTGTTGTCCACTTTTAATGGTCAAAACGGCTCTCGTGTTCTTGGGTCTCGATCGCTGTGCTGGAACTGGGCCTCTACAAGGGACTGGGCTTTTATTGCCTGTTTCACCCCTCTCATCGACGCCTCGGGAAACTGCTCACTAAGGGATGACAAGCCCATCAGGAATGGGCTGGTCAACCTAACGGTCACCCCAGGATCAAACTGCTTGGCTGTCTTCGGTACAGACGGTTAGTCGTGAAAAAGCTTACGCTCTCGTGAAATTTAGGTTCATATAGGTACATTAACATATAGAATTTGAATGAATAAGTTCCAACTGATATCTTACAAAAAAGAATTTACTCAATTAACCACATTTAATATTGACATCAGTATCCGCTGGTTTTCAGTATCCGACCTATGGTTGGTTGATGACCTAACGATGGTCTAAAAGTTTTCTGACCAAGGTTAAATTCATGCAATGGCAAGGAGATGTGGCGCATGGAACACAGGAGATTTAATTCAAGTTGGTATTGAATAGAACTATAGATTCACAGACATTCAACAACAGTCGAAAACTTGATTTAAAGGCTGTAGCCACAGCTTGAAATTAATTTGCATAGGTCTTCAGAGGGTAAATAAACAATTACACATAGCAATAACTCTCATTAAAACTAAAAGTCAGATAGCACAGCTACATGATGTCTCTGCTGTCCTGTGTCTCCACGTCGTACCGCACTGGACAGAGTCAATATATAAAATATCATGTGTTGACGTAGCGAAATGAATGTGTTGACGTAGCGATACTGAAAACTACTCACATGAACAAATGCCACATGAGATGCGTAAAAGCGACAGCTACGAAATACGCGAATTTAATTTTTGAATAATAATATTCTGGCATGTGAATTCCACACTATACAAAGTTCATTATTGCTGCCAAAAAATTAATGTTAAGATTAATCGAATCGGAATAAATGACATAATTAATACATTTAACTTATAACGCGGTGTAACCTTCGCGCACAAATGATATGAGTATTAGTAAATGATTCAATTTGAATTGGAAATACTCGCTTTGCATACTCAATCAATTGCCATCATGTTAACCTGTATAGCACAGACCTCGATCAAGATCCAAAAACGTGAAAAGTGTCCAAATCGAGTTTTTTAATGGAGGCTGCAACGCTCCTAACGATGATTGTTGCGTCACAAGGACAGGTTATACCAGCACACACATTATTTGATACTTAAAGAGAAAGTAACGAGACATGAATTTTAGACTTTCTTGCATTGCTGAACTCGTTACTTGTATACAAACTATTTTTGGAACTAATGACTTAAACATTAGAACGGAAAAGATGAATTTATCCGATCATAATAATTTACATAAATGTCCCATCTTTTGCAACAAGCTTTAACTTCAAATCATTCAAGTTTATGTAGGCATTGCCGGTAAATTTAAATTAATCATATCATGAACAAAATATGATCGGCTTAAGCGAAACGAGTTGCTTATCATTCAACTATACTGATGTCGAATTTTGAAATTTTTTATTTGCATTTCCTACATGCCTTTTGTCGCCTTTCCGTTTTTACAGTTTGTGTCCTGCCGGGAAATTCCCTCCTGAAGGTCGGAGAAACGCGAGTCAACCCGTTCTGCACGAACCTGCAGGACAAATGTCTGCCCAGTGGCATGATGGACGTGGACAGTGAGTTTGACGAAACGGAATTGCATGGTAACTGCTACATGTTTTGTATCAATGGCATTTTTCCATTCAAAGACAAATTCAACGAAGCGTAGGGATAATCCTAATGATCATCGATGAAGCAGTTGACAGCAAAGCCATGCTATTGGTCTTGCTAGAAATTTTATAACCTGAACTGTTGGCAAATCCTCGTTTTCTCAACTCGACTTAAATTCCATTGATTCTGTCATCTAGGACAGTGGTTCTAGAACTGGTGGACACAGGACAATCTGAAAAATATTACAGTTTACAACAGTCGCCACACGCCACCCACCACTATATGTTCTACCTCTAACCGGTTGACGACACTGACGCGGCCGACATCCTAGCTTCTATAAATGATAGCTGTCAACCCAAACTAGCTGCGAGCATCTCGCAACACCGCAATTACATTATTTCATCCAAAAGCAATATTACAATATTTTCCCAAATATTTCTTACATATAATTCCCGCTCCGTTCAATCAGTGCATGGCTCAATTCTACGACAAAGACCCTTGCGAAAAAACGCTTTATCGATGGAGAACGAAATTTTTTTCCTACAAACCAGAACCATTGGGTGTGAACTTCTTCATACGACGGTTTGAACTTATTGAGATTTACATAATTAAAGCATGGGACTGGAAACTTTCGTTTCCTAAAATGTTTTTGTTTTCGCAGAAATATATGTGTAATTTGTTACTATAACCAGGTCGTACATCTCATCGTATATCGTTCCACTCTCATGCCATCAGAACCAACGGCGCCTCTTCAGAACTGCACTGCACCCTTCAATGTCTCAGGTGGAATGTGTCTCATGGTTTCTTCAGTCACAAAGAATTGGTGCGAAGCGCGCGCATCTTGTCTGTCGCTGGGAGCCGACCTCGCCACTGCGCGCTCCGACCAAGACTTCATGCAGATGCAAACGTTCTACAAGGCTTCTGGTATGACTAGTAAGTCTAAATAAAATTCCGAGGAGATAGTAGCAGATCATGCAACAACAATTTTCTGTTACTAATCAGTGCAATTGCTTTGTGCTTATTGGTTCCAAGTCAAACCACGTCACTTTTGGCAGCCACACAGTATTAAGAGATCATTATGTTCCTTGCACCATAGTTTATAGCCTCATTTACTTACAACTTTGCATCTTATAGTCGTTTTTCTGTGTCTATTCCGTACGCTTTTAAGCCCGAATTGGTTGAGTTCGTTCCGATGAAATAAATAATTAATTGACACTTATTTCTTAGTACGAAGAAGCATAGATACCGGAGTTTACAAGTGGTGCTGAAATATGAAAATTTGATTAGAAAGTACGTAAAGTATGAGATGTCAGGAGCATTGTTAAGAGCTGGACAGGGACAGTAACGTGTGCATGAAACAGAAACAGTTTGTGTCAGATAGAATTTTTAGGCGGGGTGTTGAACCGAAACATTCGTAACATGTGGTCTGGTATTTTGAGTATTTCAGTCGGCATTGCAATAATACCTGGGATCCATTTTCAATTAAGCACACATGGGATCCTTAGGGTATGTATTCTTCGTGCAATTGTTTTGCTGAACGTGATGCTTCTTAATTAATAATGTGTGTGATGCGTTAGTTGAATTGCGTCTGGTATTAAAAGGCACGCCTGTTGCTGGGTTAATTATTCATTTCAGTAAGTCGACCTTTTATGCTACGGTACAGTTGTCTAATATAATAATTATGGATATGGGGTCTAGCCAAGTGTAATTAGATGCCCACAGCGTACCCGATTACTTTGCATGAGCGTTATCTCATTACAAAATTATATATTACGTTTGTTACTCCTCTTATTTTATGTTCACAGCTCAATACATGTGGCTAGGCAGCTACAAGGTCAACGGACAGTGGGTGTGGCTCAACAGCTACAGGAACCCGTACACCCTGCCGGACTGGTATCCTGGACAACCCGACGCTGAGCAATGCGGACATTTCTACTCCTCCAATACCGTGTTAGCGGATGAAGACTGCTCCAAAACATTATTGTTCATGTGTCGAGCATTGCTAACTCTGTAACTTTGACATCTGGCTTCATATTCAGAAAAATTCATGGGTCATTTTGTTCAACTAAATCAGGGGCAAAAATGGCAACCAAATCAAGGGCAGAAATGGCATCTCTGTTTTGATGAAGTCTCATTCATTTATTGGGGGCGAAAGATTTGCTTTGTGAAACGGCAAAATTTGAATGAAAAGCATTCGAGACCACGGCGTAAAATCCGTGCTCGTTCGGTTATTTTTGTCTCGGTCAAAGCCGTGTCATTGTAACTGCTAGTATAGCGTAAGTGCACTCTCCATGGCGGCATATTCGTTTGTAATTATTTGTTGGTGATAAAAATCTTGAATCAGGGAGCTGATCATGAATTGACTGGTATACCGATCATTGGAATATTTATTCTCAATCATTTCATATTGCTTTTAAGTAAGAAGAAGATGTTCACTAGTGTACACGTTAAATGAAAATGCTTAATGTCCTAATGCTTAGTGTCTTAAATCAGCTTAATTGTCGCGGGAAACCTCACTCGTATTTAACATAACTCAACAAAAAGCTAAGAACACTAGGCAACGGTACCATAACCTAATTCTTAGAAATGTGTTTTATTAAGTAGGAGCCATAAGGATATTTCAATAGTTAGCACAAAAGCTTTTTGTCTGTTTTTGCACTTTAATTAATATTACTTAAATTAAAATTCTAAATGAATTTTTTAGGCCTAATAACCTATGCAAGATTAAAATACAATGCAATAATTGGCTTTATGCAAATATGAAAAAAATACTTGTATTAATTAACTTTATTTTTGTCGACATTAATTCACAACTTACGGCTATGATCATCTTGACAATTTTTAAATTTAATTTTCTGTCATTATTTTTATTTATTTGCGTTAATTAATAGTAATGAAAAGGTGGCAATATTGCCATGAAAAAATTCTTTGCTAGGTAGCCACTGATTAAATTGAGTTGAACGCATTAAGAAACGCTCTCAAATCATCTTCTATATGCCGTGGTGAAGTATCAATTTTTATTGTAGGACATATCGCCTTAAAACATCTAATAAGTCAATGTCCATATGCGCGACTGGCACATTGCAAGCTAATATACTGTACATATATGGCCAACTCTCGCTCAACAACTGAACATTTCTTTTGACATATATCGCCAACATTGTCGATCCGTTGTCCATTCTGATAATGAATGCAATTTCATTAAAGTGTTCATCGCAGTAGAAGCGTCAAAATACATCCGAGAGAGCAAATAACCAAATTTAACATCAAGCCAACAGGGAAGTCATATGCTGCTGCGCTTGAGCCGTCGAGCGCGTGGTACCGGCGTAATTATGGCTACCGGCTACCGTCGTGGCCTATAGCAATTAATGAAATAGATATTTCGTGGTGGTCCATTATTATTATTTATTATGAGCTGCAGGTGCACGACATCACTACCGCGCAAGACGACCACTTTAGTTTGTTTGTCTGCACGAAACCGAATATTCGCATGCAAGCAAAATATTCAATAAGTCTCTAATGCACTCCACACTCGTGATTGCCCTAGACAGCCTTGCATTGCTGTTAAAATCAACCTCATTTGTGACTGTGATAGCACAAAAATTATATAGAATTATTATATATAAATCATTACCGAACATGAGCGTGGTTCTTGTTAGTGAGCCGTGACCCAATGGACAATGATTAGCAACAGATTTTCGGGAAATAAATTCAACCATCCGGATATTTAATAAAGTTTTAAGCGCCAGAACCACGACCATATGTCGCGTACCCTCAACACTGAATGAAAGTCCTATCTGGGGTCAATGAATCCCTCTATGGTAACTTTATTGCGTACAATGTTTTTATAATCCCATTTTCATTTGAATGAATCCCTTTTATCATAAGCTATATTTCGGTACAAATTTGATCAGTTTTTCAAATCAAAAATTATTTCTAATGATTTCAAGCTTTGTACGGGTCTCTCACTGTTTCAGGATTATGTTCTTGTTCTATCCAAATAAATTTTTAAAGCCATCAGTTTTATTCATTCCCAGAATTTCTCCATAATCGAATTCGTTGATGAAGCAGATTATTGGTTTAAAGGAAACTGGCGAATCAACGTGATTGGTAAATTAGTCATATATTTCACGTAAATAATTAGTTATGTTGCAAATGTATTGAGAAAATTTTGAAATATGTGGAATCTTAATGATCATATTTCGACTTTCATGTTAAAATTTGACACTAGTTCAAATGCATTGCGAACGCTCTTGAGAATCGATGAATTTAGAATGAACTCATTCTATCCTTTTCTTTTCTTGATGTTACGACTACAGGATGAGAAATCTTTCAGAACTTTCTTCAAAGTTCAACTGTGCACTTTGTTTCGTTTTCTAGTGAAGCACGCATGGAAGGATGGTTATTATGAAAAATTATTGTTTACGATCATATGACAATGGAAATCAGGCGTGAGCTGGGATTAAATATCGTTCGTCTTAATAGTGGAGCTAGACTAAAAAATGTTGATTCAGCAGATTCATGTACTGGAACTTCATGGATCATTAACTAAGTCATCTGAAGTTGGTAATGACATCAAAAAATTTTCACTAATAGGTTTTAAACTGAGGTCGAAGATCAATTAGCTGCTTTTCAAGTCCAGCTATTTCAATCAAATCTGATGCCAAATTCTCAGTAAAATTCATTAAATACAATATTGTAGAGGGCTAGGTTAATTATTAAGCATCAAAAATGTGTAATATCTTGAGGTATATTGTATAGGAAAAGAATGTATTTAATTAGGATGTAAAAGTTGTAAGATTGTTTTAGAAAGAATCGTAGCTTTGCTGACTGGTGTCGTACGAACGGTCCGGATTCATTCGGATTTTAGAGAGCGGACAGTAAGGATCCCTCTATTCGGCCTGTATATGTTTTGTTCCAGATTGTCTCGATTAACTTTGTAACCTTGCCCAATTTTATATCTGTGTTGTGGTGTTGGATTTTAAGTATATCTTGACAAGAAAAGACTTTTATTCTTGACAAAAGTTCATGCGAACCTGGTGGTCCACAACAATATAAAGAATGAATCTGTTCGAATGAATCAAATGCCCGCTTGACCAGTAATCCTTAAACTTTACCAGAATGAATGAGCACCTATATAGGAGTTGAGAGCGGTATGAAATATTTATTTATATTTAAAAGATATATTATATTACATTCTATTCTATCCTTTTGTATTATCATATAGTATAATATTTTATATTATATTTTATTACATTAAAATATTGTTAAAAATCTCGAATTTCTATAACAATTTGCTATAACCTCAATAAAGGGAAGGCACAATTTACTGCTCCCCAATTGCGATGAGCGACTGAATTTTAATAAAGTTTTCATATTGACATCGCATTCGTATTCGTATCGTACGATGAAAACCAATCTAATATCTACTGAATAAATGACGAAGCCGAATGCATGGCTTCAAACATGCATGGCCTCACTTGCGCGTACCTGAAGTTTGGACAGTTGATCTGCGACCAGTTTTCGCAGTGACGCGAACGTGTGAGTCACGCGCGCACTCAGCTGCACGCAGTCAGCAGACAAATACAACACAATTGTATAAGAAGCGCATTCGTCACTTCTCTCAAGTCATGAGAAAGAAAATTTTTTATTATCCGTAATTAAGAACGTAATAACTCACTATTTTGTATCATCACAAACCAGTTAGTTGCCGGCGTTCTATAGCACCAGCTACAGAGGGAGCATCACAATTTTGAGACGATCCACGAACTGAAATTAATTTCTTCCTTCTACTTAATTTCTAGTCGATTGGACTATCCAAAGACAAGATGCGTGTTATAGTATCCTTTACGATGTGCATGCTGGGGCTGGGGCAGGAGGGACTATGTCGCTATAAGGACTGGAAGCCGGTGTCTGCAGACCCTGCCGTGTTGGCCACTTTGAAGGGTCAAAACAGCTCCCGCATTCTCGGGTCCCGAATGCAATGCTGGAGCTGGGCTTCTGCAAAGGACTGGACTTTTATAGCCTGTTACATTCCTCTTACTGGTTTGTTGGGGAACTGCACCCTGTGGGATGACAAGCCCATCAGAAATGGGCAGGTGAACCTGACGGTCTCAACAGGATCAAACAACTGCATGGCTGTCTTCGGGACTGACGGTTAGTATATGAGCGGCGATACCCTCATGAAGTTCTTATTTTGATACGTCTTCTCTAAACTATTGGGTTACTTTGAATAATGCTAAAGTCAGTCAGAGCGAAGAAATTTCAGTCGTACGTGGAAATGTTAATATTTGTACAATATTGTCTAACCCATTCAACATCGTTGAATTTGACTCCATTCGACACTCCATTACACACGCAGTCTACATGCACCTTGTGGATACTTGATTAATACAAGGTATTATGTCGCTTTAAGAGCGCTTGATTCCAATCTACAAATTCTGGAGAACCTATTTCGTTCTTCGCACATGTCGGTTTTGACTGAACGGCGAGTGCGTTGCATTGTCGTTTTTCCACACATTATCTACTGCTACGCAAATGCAGACAATGTGTAATTCTCAGAAAATGGGTCAAAATATCAAATTGTCAAAAGTTAGTTCAAATAGTTTAATATATGGTGCTATAAATTACTCCAAGTATTGCATAGTTGCTCTAACATGACTCAAGTCTCAAGCTAAATCATTTAAAATTATATTGTCTCGTTCGCGTCGTTGATGTCCACTTAATTGCGCATGGTGCGTTTTCGGTCTAATCGGAATCAGTGAACGTTGAGCAATTCACAATATTTTTGAGTGCGTGAGTGCGTTTTTCTACGTGTATAGATTTGAATAGAACATTTTGGCCGATTTAGTTTTGATAATGTCGTTATTGCTAGGATGTTTTTCTCTCAAAAACTAATTGTCAGTTTATTAAAATTAAATTTAATTGTTTAGTTTTATTTAATTAAAAAATTGTCAGTTCTAATTTCTTTGTATGTTTCCAAGGCTAGCAAGATGACGGAAATGGCAAATTTCAACTTATTTTATTAGATACACGACAGCATCTTACGCAAAGGATCACCCGGATGAAGAAAGCAAGTTCGAAAATGATTATTTTTCTTTTAACGTGACAGTTTAGAGCAGCTTAAATGATTGCGACCGGTACGCAGAGATTAAAAATTAGAATTAAATTCTGTAGCGGACGTGATCGCAATATAACAAATCGACAGTGTTATTTTCAAAAAATTTTCGAGTTATTGAACTACCAAACTTGCCAAAAGCCGCTCATCTCATACCTCCTTTTCTGCAGCTTGTGTCCTGCCGGGAAATTCCCTCCTGAAGGTCGGAGACACGCGAGCCAACCCGTTCTGCACGAACCTGCAGGAGATTTGCCTGCCCAGTGGCATGATGGACGTGAATAGTAAGAAAGGCGTTGAGGCTCATGACAGCAACAGAAAAATAAATAATATATATGAAAAAAAAAATGTTGGCACCATTTTCTAAGGTGCTCAGGGAGAAGAAACCCAAAGTTCGTTTGTTAACTGCCCTGACGGCATAGCCTTTTCATAAATCGCCTTGGACAGTTAGCAAATGAACTTTTCCTTTTCTTTTTTCAGGTTTTCTTTCTTTTATTGTTCATGTAAGCTGCAAGAGCGAGAAATAGGAATCTTTACTCGGAGATGGTGACTGGTTGAATTTCACTGAACATTGTAACTAATTCGAATGTCACACTAATAATCTCGGCTACGTTCATTGTGGGCAATCAGGAAATAAAATTATGACGCATACAACAGGTTTTTTGAACGTGAAAAGTAAACACAGAATTAATATGAAAGGATTCTAGTAATGAAACACTCACAGCAGTGCTTCGGACCCCTAGGCGATGCAGTAAAGCGTCGATGCCTAAACATTAGTTGGCGACTCTCTATGATAAACTGGCAGGCTGCATCTACTCGCTCGTGACCCGTTTCTGCGAAATTTTGCCGCAATAATTTTCGAGAAACACTACTAACCTTGGGCGATAAAACATTTTATTGTGGATAAATGACATTCGTAAATTATAGACCAATAACATAAGTTAACTGAAAAAAGTACATATCAAGAATTTTCAAATCCTTTGACAAAATTTCGGGCACAAAACACATTATAGAAAAGTATGCAATAAATAATTTTCCTCTTATCGACTTCGTGTGCGACATAAGAAAATCACTTAGATATAAGCTTCATACTTTGAGTAAACACAAACTAGAAAGGAAATTCATCCAAATAGAACATATTAAGAATACATTAAAATTTGGAACGGCTTACATGGAGGGTGAAACAAGCACTATAGCCGCAGCGTATCAATTTTCGAATCTCATTGAATTGAACGAATTGAGTTGAAGATCGAAAATCTCGTACCCAAACCTATGATAGTAGGTATTCCGTACACAGATTACTAAAATGAACACTTATATTTAGTCAATAATCATACAATCGAGAAACAACAAGCTGTTGTTGGATCCCAGCTCTATGATGAGTTTATTAAAGAATGTTTCAAAATATGATAATCGAAAAGAAGGTCGAAAATTTATTTTCACGGGTTTGGGCACGAGCTTCTTGAAGCTTTTGCAAGTTTAGATTTAAAATAAATGGGATTCATATATTGATAAACCGCGGCTGTAGAATGAGTCCTAGCTTCCATGTTGTGCACAACGAATTTGTATGCCTTCATATGTTTATCTGAATTGGTTTCTGAAAATTCATGTTTTTACTCAAACGAAGAGGCTTTTTCATGTGATTCTATAGTCGTTCTTGAGGTAGAAGGTGCGAAAATTATGAATTGCACTTTTCCTGCTCCCGAACGTTGGCTTGCACGTGTAATCAATTTCATAATTTGTTCTTGCTTCAGATTTAAGGATATTATTCCTGCGCGGATTGGGTACTCTCATGTAATGTGTACAGTTGTGCGGATAGTGCGTATCCGCGTGCGTGGGAATGACATCACGAAACTTCTACGTACGATTATACGAACGAAGTAGGGTACTCCCCTTGAGCCTCATAATTAAGGATTTTATTGTCTTATAGAAGTTATAGTATTTATCCTCTGAAAACTTGTGATTATCATGTTATTAATATTTCTTGACCTTTTCATCTGGATTGGTAGGCTCTAATTTTATTCGTGTAAGTCTTGATGTTTCAAATTATTTTACGCATATTCTAGTAGTTTCAAACTTATGATGGGGTTTGTCTCTGAATCCAAAGAACTGATGGAAAATTATGAAATCAGTATAAAACGGAGTATATCCCATTTAATATCACCATCAATAAGTTAAGCTCTTTTGGTGACGTCAATCTGGGAAGTAATAATGAGCTGAAGAACCAAAAAAAAAAAAAAAAAATTGGCTAGCATTGCGATATTAAATGAAGAGGCAGACAGTTTCGATGAAATTATAACGAATTTACTTGATATTTATATGCTTATACATTGTTGGTTAATTTGATATTTGAATAAGGATACTACTGACGTGTTTTTAAGTACTTATATCATCAGTCTGCTTATATCGCAAGTTCACAAGGAATTTAAAAGCAAAGAAAACGCCAAGAAAATTCACCATATCGATATTGAAAACGTTTTGGAGTCCAGCTCCATCATCATTTCGACTAAACTAAAAATAAATAAAACCATTTATAAGTGCAAATTCAAAGACAGAAATAAAACCTAAACAAGACCTAAAATTATATCGAAATAAACAGGACTAGATTGGAACAACTTAGTCCTAGGGGTACGACAACAATATAAAATCCTAGCGATTCACTATTTCCAGATTATATGAACTAAAAGCTTTATTGAGGCACGGTTTTCGTTTGAAGATATTTAGAGACTCCAAAATTCTCAAATCCGAGCAGCCAGAAGTGGAACCGAGTATCCTGAAATCACTCAGATACAGCTACGTCGCACTGTTCAGCACGGAGGCGCACGGAAGAATAAGGAGGCTTGACGAGAGACAAGTTAGAACGATAGCTCCTGCCACGGTATTCAGAAACCCGGATGTAGGAGTTACGCGATGTCATTTCAACGTACGTAGATGCACAGCGTGCACAACTGAACTCATAGACCAGGTTTGATCGCATCCGAGCAGGAATAACGTCCTTATACCTGAAGAAAGAATCAATTTTGAAATTATTGAACAGTAAAACAGGCAAATTTATATTCGGGAAATATTTCAAACACTACATCTATAGTTCTCTGGACATAGTTTCAGACGCACTACCAAATTAGGGCAATGTGCAATAAATAATTTTCTTACTATCACATTCTGTCACAGTTTCATAAAATTTGTTAGATAAGAAGCGTTTGATTTTACTATACACCATTAAGCCGAAATATATTACGAATGAAATCGAATTCCAAATGCATATCATGGAAAGTAGAACACACCCCATAGCCACGGTATATCGAAGTTTGAAGACTATTCAATTTGAAACGAAACGAACAGAAGCTAAAGAAGCTCATACCCAAGCTGGTAAATGTCGGTTTTCGATATACGGAAGTCTGAAAACGACCGCCGGATTTTGTGATTTTGCAATCGAGAAACGACAAGCAGTTGTTGGATTCTAATTTCATAGAGAATTTTATTGAAGGATGTTTGAGGTTTAGATAATCAAAGAAAAGGCCCGCATGAGAGGGATGCTTGAAGATCAGAAAGGTACCATCAATATAAGTATTATAAAAAATCGGTTTAAAATCAATGGACAATCGGCCAACCAAGAAATTTCATGAAAGCACATGAAAATGTTAGCGAGTGTGGGACCAAGGGGAACGCCCATTCCTAAACCATCAACTTGCTTATAAAGTTTACAAGCGAAAATGAAAAAAGAGTTCATGACTGATAATTCTAAAATCTTTTAGAAAAGATTGCGGTTAAGACCGATCACCAGATCATTCACATCCTTACAAAAAAGAGTTGAGGCAGATTTCAATAATTTCTGCAAGAGGAATATTAGTGAACAAATTTTCCATATCGAATGAAGCCATTAGTCAGGTGCTGAACATCGGTAAAATCTTTCAAACGGTCGACAAAGGAGTACGTATTATCAACACTAAACTGGTTAGTAGTTAGACAATTCAAAATGGGAACTAAAAATTTAGCTATGATAAAGCTCGGGGTATTATACGCAGCAAAAATTGGTAGGAATTGAAATTTCGAAGCGAAATCAGACTAATGAATTTTAGGAACTTTATAAGCAAGTTAATGGTGGGCCTTCCCCTTGGTCCCACACTCGCTAGTATTTTAATGTGCTTTCATGAAGTTTCTTGGTTGGCCGATTGTCCCATTGATTTTAAACCGATTTTTTATAATAGGTATATTGATGATACCTTTCTAATCTTCAAGCATCCCTCTCATGCGGGCCTTTTCTTTGATTATCTAAACCTCAAAAATCCTTCAATGAAATTCACTATGGAATTAGAATCCAACATCTGCTTGTCGTTTCTCGATTGCAAAATCACCAAGTCGGGCGGTCGTTTTCAGACTTCCGTATATCGAAAACCGACATTTACCGCCTTGGGTATGAGCTTCTTTAGCTTATGCTCGTTTCGTTTCAAATTGAATAGTCTTCAAACTTTGATTTGATTGAATAGTCTTCAAACTTCGTGGCTATAGGGTGTGTTCTACTTTCCATGATATGCATTTGAAATTCGATTTAATTCGTAATATATTTCAGCTTAATGGCTTTCCATCGTGCCTTGTGTATAGTAAGATCAAACGCTTCTTATCTAACAAATTTTCTGAAACTGTGACTGAATGCGATAGTAAGAAAATTATTTATTGCACATTGCCCTATTTTGGTAGTGCGTCTGAAACAATGTCCAGAGAGCTAAAGATTTTGTGTTTGAAATATTTCCCGAATATAAATTTGCATGTTTCACTGGTCAATAATTTCAAAATTATTTCTTTCTTCAGGTATAAGGACGCTATTCCTGCTCGGATGCGATCAAACCTAGTCTATGAGTTCAGTTGTGCACGCTGTGCATCTGCGTACGTTGGAATGACGTCGCGTAACTTCTACATCCGGGTTCCTGAACACCTTGGCAGGAGCTATCGTTCTAGCTTGCCTCTCGCCAAGCCTCCTCATTCTTCCGTGCGCCTCCATGCTGAACAGTGCGACGTGGCTGTATCTGAGAGTGATTTCAGGATACTCGGTTCCACTTCTGGCTGCTCGGATTTGAGAATTTTGGAGTCTCTACATATCTTCAAACGAAAACCGTGTCTCAATAATGCCTTTAGTTCATATAATCTAGAAATAGTGAATCACTAGGATTTTATATTCTCGTCGTACCCCTAGGACTAAGTTGTTCCAATCTAGTCCTGTTTATTTCGATATAATGTTAGGTCTTGTTTAGGTTTTATGTCTGTCTTTGAATTTGGACTTATAAAATGATTTTATTAATTTTTAGTTTAGTCGAACTAATGATGGAGCTGGACTCCGAAACGTTTTCAATCTCGATATTGTGAATTTTCTTTGCTTTTAAATTCCTTGTGACGTGTTTTTATAATGTTGTACAACTCGAAGATCAGAGCAACTACTGCAAAACTTGACCCTTCTGTCTGTAGAACCAGTCGCTCCTCTTCAAAACTGCACTGCACCCTTCACTGTCTCTGGTGGCATGTGTCTCATGGTTTCCTCGCTCTCGAATAAGAAAAACTGGTGCTACGCGCGTGCATACTGCCTGTCTCTGGGAGCTGACCTCGCCACCGCGCGCTCCGACCAAGATTTCGCACAAATGCAAACGCTCTGGAAGTCATACGGAATGACAGGTGTGTCGGTCTGAAAAGTAAGTTGAATAACGATATCATATGCATTGTGCTAGGGATTTCTACTTATATTCCTGTAGGCTCCTGTTTGAGATCGAACTAAGCGTTTTATATGCACAGTATCTTTATCTCGAGGATTGATAGGACAAAATTTTAATGTAGTAAGTAAAGCATGGCGGAATCTAGATTTTAAATCTTTTGTTCATGGTTGGGAGTTGCTCACACTGTTGTAGCGCTCGTGAGTGTACGAGGTCATTCCGGTGAATGTGCTACTAATCAGAGGACTAAATTTTGGTCTTTAATTGCAGTAACATTATCCTATATTTTCGTGGCATGTACCCAAATTGGTTACATCAGAGGAACACAAACCATTGTGCGCGTTCACTCGTCTTATATATAATAATATAATAGCGGTTTTAGCGTAGCGTATAATAGCGTAAGCCTTTCGCCAATTCTTATCATCGCAGAACATTCACAGCATTTTTCGGTCTCGCACTCACAACTCACTGCTACAATTCTGCTGTGCTGAATTGTAGCAGTTTCTGTTCACGGACGATCCAACTCTAAACTCGGCACACTGGGTGAACTCAGGGTAAATTTTAACGGCAGCGTCTAGCAGCGAGTCGAGACAACAGCGAGGCTTGGGTAAGTGAAGACGACGATGGAGAGGATGAGTGGGGTATGGGAGGGTTGAGAACTAATTTATTGGTGGGAGCCGATGGCAGTGTCAGGTTGCGGTGTGTCCCCTCACCTACCTACTATACCTATACATAACTGTATAGTTATTAGGTGCACTGTATAGTTACAGGCTCCTTTGTATTCATGTATAAATTTGTTAGATGACTGACTGACGGGTATCATTCATTAATAGATATTGCAACATAGCAATGTTAACTAATTTATAATTTGTAACTTTGAGTTCTCTGAAGTCCGAGTTCCCTGAGACCAGCAAATCTTTGTAAAATCTGCACTCGCATGTAAGTTCGGCCGTCACCAGCCCTTGGTCTCGTTATCACTTCAGCCACATATTTGTGGCTAACACTCCCCAGGCTTCAAGGATTTTGATTTAGGCAAGGGGCGGCTTTAGGTGGCCGGTGAATTGCCAGCGGGCGGCCAGAGCTAACCTGCTCTGGCCAACCGCTGGCCCCCCACGGTCCGGGAAGGAGAGAAGGCACTGAAGGGGCGCTGCCAACGCCGAGAGAGAGATTTATGAGCTTGCAGTTCCCTCATAAACCACTGGGCATGTTTTGACCTCAACAATTTAGGATACAAACTTTATTTGAACATGTAGTCTGATGTAATACTAATGTAGCAGTTGCGCAAATATAGCTGCAAATTTTTTTAAATGATAATCCGTACCATGGTACTTCGCATCATTATGGTTTTCGCTCCTGTTATTTGCTTTAAAATTAAGTACCGCTATTTATTCTTGCCTTTTTATTATCATATAAATCATAATTTTTAAAATCACAGTAATAATAATTTAAATCAGTAATTCAGTATGATAATAATTCAGTGGGCTGATATTAATATTCAGTTTGATATTAATATTACAGATTATTAAGCAATGTGCAATGTGTTGTTACACGCTAATTTTTAGATTTTAAAAAATGTCTTTAGAAATAGAATATAAATTTAAATGCATGTCTTAACCGTATTTTATGAACTTCTGATAAAAATTTACACATTTACATGAATGTTCTAATTACTGCACAGATCATGTACGTATAGAATTTAAAATGCTACATTCCAGCTCATTTAATTCAATGATTAATTTATTAACTAGACCAGTTGGTAGGGAAAAAAGAGTGCATGTTTACTTTGAAGAGAATATTTATTGCCTGCAGGAGAGCATGACAACCAAAGGTCTGTGTCGTGCTTTAATCTACGGAAGTTTTACATAACTTTCGGCTTCAAGTGCCTATATCTAATACTAGAATAATAATTCGGAAATGTATGGGGTAGCGATAAATGAAGAAAAAATGTAACTCAGTACTCACAGCAGTGAGTGACATGTCTTTCACTGTAATAGGAGCTTAGACTTCAAGCCAAATAGGCTGTTTTCATGCAGATATATATTATATATTCATCTTCATCATATAAATGCATCCCATTCAATACCTAAATCATTAACATTATATTTAATTCAGATAGTACAAATTTCTGAACGAATGACGTATTGTCACTAGACTATTAAATATTTTTTTCTGTTATAGGCACGTCAATGGAAGGTTAAAGAAAGGCGACGAAATTTTAACTTTACTGCTAATCAAGATCTATCAAACTACAGGGACAGTAATTCAGACCATACAGAGACCAAAAGTTTACTCATAATGACAGTGATACTGGCTGTCACTTGCACAGCAACAGCGAAGTATCCGTCTTCATGGGGATGGAGACAGAAGGGGAAGCTGTGAAACAGCAGTAGGGTTTTTTACAGGGAAATTATTGTGAGGCTCTTTCTTCTCGTATGGTCGAGGGTCGCTCCACTGAATACGCAATGACCCGTATAAAGAATATTCAATATCTATTCAATATTCAACATCATCGTTGATAATGCAAGGTGACATGTTGTTTAAGTAAAAATTTTTAAGCTGCACTTCCATTCGCTTGATCCAAAACATCGGTTCAAAATCAACAACAATTATATGTATATCTTCTGGTATCCAGGTCACGAAATAACATTTACTTCGTCCGGTAACATTCATCTGACCTTGAACTTGGAAGAAATAGGAATGCCTTCTGTTCAGTATTACTTGATCGTCGACGACTTTCAAATGATTGCATTTTTAGCGATCACAGCATCTTTTATTGTCTTGAAATTACGTGCAGAGCTTGGACATTTGATTTCAACAATGTGGTCATGATCCACAAGACCGTCTGGGGATGCACCTATATAAGGCAAATCTTTGCCTACGAAAAAAACCGCATCTTTTCACTGAGATGCCCATTTTTTAAGCCTTCAAACGCTGAAGCTTCCCTCTCCCACCCCCACGCTTCGACATGAATCGTGTCACTCAAGCCATTCATTATTCTGTGGGCGACCAACTGCTTGCTTGTTGTTTTTCTCAGTTTGCATACAGTCCCGAAATTCGAAGCGGTTAATCTTTTTCTACGTTCATTATGCCATGATGAACAATTACTTTGTTGAATTGTTGAACACTCAAGGGTCTGAATTTGATGTTCATCCAGGAACAATTTTGAATAAAGTTCCTTTTAGCTTCATGTGACACGGTAGCGAAAGCGTTGCTCTTGTATCCGAAAGCTCGACCTTGTCTCCGTTTCAACTTGACAGCACTTCCGTTGAATAGCCGTCTTTTGGCATTGGCCTTCTTTTGAGCCAAATGAGCTTCAATTTTCATCATCACCTTGTTAGGGGATTTCCGAGGAAGTTTTTCGTGAATTAATGAATGCAAGCGTCCGGTGTTATGTGCTATTACAGCACCATTGCATCTGCTTTTGAAGCCGTCTTTTAAACTAAAGTTTATTCTATTTCCTCCCATAAACTTTGCAACTTGATTGAAGAAATTTTCCACTCTGTTGTTACTAACGTCATGAATAAGACTGTGTGCTTGGTCCTTCACTCTGTTTAGAATCTTCATTATGGCTTGAAAAACTCCTGTTTTTTCAAGATCTGGCAAGTGATTTTGATCATCTTGATTTTTACAAAAATAATTTTAGGTTGTTGAGCGCATTTTATGATCACCAAAGACATGCCGGGCGTTGTTCAAAATGTCTTTTTGCAACCCCTCGATTTTTTCCTCTTCTGAAACACTCATTCTTTATGGTGTTATAATATGGCACGCCACTGCTGCACGCCACTGCACGCCACTGCTGTTGGGTGGCTGAGCATTCTGCACGCTCGACTCTTCACTGCTGCTGGGTGCCTCATCGTTCTGCACGCTCGATTCCTCACTGCTATTAGGTGGTTTAGCATTGCACGCTGGACTCTTCACTGCTATTACACGGCTCAGCATTCTGCACGCTCGACTCTTCACTGTTAATAGGTGGCTCAGCATTTTGCACGCTGGACTCTTCACTGATATGAGATGGCCCAGCGTTCTGCACTCTCGATTTCTCTGACTTTTCTATCACTAAATCACTCAAATCGTCTTCATCGCTTGTAAAATTCACTATTGGAGTTGTATTGTTGGCGACATTCTCGACTGGAGGCGATGCTTGTAGAACCGTCAGGAGATTTTGTTGTTTTCTGCGGAGCAAACAACATCGATGTTACATTGAAGCTATATATAAACATGGGCTGTACTTCATCGCAATCATTGGCATTCACCGTTGGCATTATTAAAGGTTACTACAGTATAGCAAATAAAGCAACTTTCAACTTCTATTTTAGAGACCTCTGACTGATGAGATTCAAATCTTGTTATATCCATGATAAGTAACGACTGTAATAAATCTTACCTCCATCTTTACAACTGGAGACCTTTATTGATTCGTGGTGATGAAAGGGACAATTTTTTCGATTTCTTGTGAGAGAAACGCATGTCGCCAGCGTTCTAGCACACGAAGTAACAAGGGAAGGCTGTAATTTAAACGTGCCAGGAGGCTAAGGGGGTAAGGAGGGTAAGGAGGCTGTCCCTCTACCCCCTAGGAAGAGGGTAGACGATCGACTATGCCACTTCACGCGGGCTGATTTATGACCGCCAAGGAAAGTGTCGCGACAACGTACGACACTTTGACATGCTCGGGGCCATGCAGGTCCCAAAGAAAATGGGAAATCTACGATTCAGGAGTGATGAAAAAGTATCTTGTTAGCTAATTTCTACAAAATAGAGGGTGATTCAAATATGACTTTAATACCAATCAATAGAGAATAAATATTACTACTTCAGCATGTCTCAAAAATTTAGGTAAGTCGCATCTCTCTCAAGTATAATGAACATCGATGTGCAACATTTTACTCTATCATATCTGATGTTATAAAAATGTACATATATTTTGTAACTGTCGGTAAATTGTAAATAAATAGCTGAATGGGCATGAAAAAATTCAGCTTGATTTCATTTACGAGCGGAGTTATAATGGCTAGATAGATTCTCATAGGGATTCAGCCAAGCCTGCCTGAAAGCTCGCGGCTCTCAAGCACGACCTTAACAGCCCGGCCTCCTCGCCGATTCTGACCAGAAACTGGCGCACAGAGCTGGGATCGAACCCGCACCTCTCTGCGCCAATCCTGGTACTCTGAACTGTAACCACCACCCTAACAAAATTTAGAGTTGCCCCAGCTTCTGGTAATCCAAAGCAGAAGCTGCCGCGACTGTAAATTTTCACTGGGTGGTGCCTCTAAATACGAATATTACGGGCAGTCAATTGAACCTGTTCTACTATGTTTGCGCAGATCAGTACATGTGGCTAGGCAGCTACAAGGTCGATGGACAGTGGATGTGGCTCAACAGTTACAGGAACCCGGGTACCATGCCAGACTGGTATCCTGGACAACCCGACGGCGACAACTGCGGTCATCTCTACACCTCTGATGCCAAGTTAGCGGATGTCAACTGTGCTGAATCACATGTCTTCATGTGTGGAGCTTTTCTCGCTCAGTAGCTTTGACATGAGAAGCTGGTCAAGCGGCTTTCATCGTTGGCCGTGAGGTTATACAAAAATTAACCTCGAACTACAGTACATTGCTGAACACAATATCGATAAAAATTTACTAACAAAACAAAAATCACTCAATTAATCTTTTAACACTCGAAAATTAATTGAGTGATTTTAACACTCAATTAATTAATCTTTTAACACTCGAAAATTGCAGGAGCTGTGCACAAGCTCATCTTTCTATTTTTGCCCAAGGAGCGTTTGCAAGGTAGTCAGATTAAATCACCAGATCTACGATATATTTTAGAGAATTCATAAGTCCTGACTGAGCGAGTCCTTCAAAAGTGAAGTCTACCTTGGTTAATGTTAACTATAGGAAATGACGGTGGAAAAGCAGGCATTTCAATTAGGTTACATTTTTCATGTGTCATGGCGGTGTAGTTATGGCAAGGAATATAGTTTTAGAAGCTTCATTTAGGTTCGTTGTCGAATTGGGATTAATTGATGTTGTAGACTAATATTTGCTCCTTGTTCTCTGCATTTTCATGTTTGTAAGTAGTACTTTACATTAAGGCGTAGTTTTTACAGCTGTTATTTAAATTTTTTGTTCGTTCAGCCCCGACCAGGAACGTCCCGTGTGTGTGCTGTGCAAGGGACATTGACTGCGTACTGGGGACGTAATAATGGCAAGCGTCCGACTTTAATAGGCCTGTTAGTGGTAGCTTCACATCCTACATTGATCATCGTTAAAAATCATGAGTCTCAAAAATGAATTAATCTTCGTTTCGAATTGATAGTAAAGTTTAGGGATTCCAGAATACGTACGAATCATTTATTTCAATGAGATAAAACTTCTAGTCTCCATTATAAAATTGATGAACAATTATTGTGATCATTTTTTTCAACCCAAAATTTGTTGCTTTTTACGCGAAAATCAAGTTTGTTGTGGCAGGCAATTCCGTCTTGAAATCGAAAAATTTATCAAATTATCAATATTATAATTATAGCATAGATATCATACTTATAGCGCAGCTATCATAATTATAGCACAGCGTTCATAATTATAGCTCAGCTTTCATAATTATAGCACAGCTTTCATAATTATAGCATAGATATCATACTTATAGCGCAGCTATCATAATTATAAGCACAACTATCATAATTATTGCACAGCTATCATATATAATTATAGCACAGCTTTCATAATTTAAGCACAGCTTTCATAATTATTATAGTACAGATATCATAACTATAGCACATCTATAATTTCAATTAAATTCATCTACATCCTCGTTTCTGGTGATTTTTGACAGGTAATAAAGACATGAAGATAGTTTTCTAAAATGCAATTTAATATTATCCGCTGTCATCAGTTTTCATGGAGCTATCTATGGAGTGACCACGTGTATCAAATTCTCTTGACAATTTCAGAATGATCGACCTGAACTCTGTAGAGGAAATAGATTTAATTTATTGCTATATATATAATTTTTGAGTACTTAGATATTGTTCAACGCTCACATGTGTCTCAGAATGCATATTCAGCGTGAAATGCTACGATTATCATCATACTGCTTTGACTTAACTTTAACAGTTATTCGATGTTTTCTTACCCTGCTTAACGCATTTTTTTCTGCCAAAGTTCGCCATAGAACAAGAAATTCGCTCATATGCATGGCGGGAACCTACCCAGTTTAAATAAACAGAACAAAAAATCTAAAGCTGAATTTAGTTTACGCGAAACAATCCATTAAAATCTTTTTTATTCAATTGGAGACGCTACAGATGTCGAAATCAGCACATTTTTCGAAAAATAAATTATATATTTCCTTAAAGTGATTAACAAAGATAAATCTAACGAATATAGTTTTTATACTTCCCTAGCTGCACGCTTCATCTCTGCAATTTTATACAATCGCGAATTCAGTTACTCAAAATACAATTATCCAGTATCCAGTTAATATATTTGGAACAAAAGAAAGTTATTCAAAGAATGCTCGTTCCAATCACCATTTAGCATTGAACTCCCATTCAGCCTTCAGTGTGAAATTCTGAACGAATTATTGATGTTTTATGGTTGAATAAAATTTAACGAACGGAAATAAGAATCAATTCTAATATAACAATTCAATATTCCGCTGCATGTTTTTGATTGCTTATGAATCGCCTCCAAAAATACAATTTCAAAATAAAAGAATATCCGTCACGATGAAATTAGTCGACACAACCCCGGACAGTCCCAATATATGAGGTGCTATAATGCTTGAAACAAACCAATACATGAGCTTCAACATATATGCATGAGCTCAGCAATAACTACGAGTACAAACAATTTCATCCGGCATCTCTACAAAATAAATAAATTTAAAATTAATAGTATATTTGAGGTTGCTCATGTCGCATTTTTGCCCTCGCGTGATAAGCAAATGTTCTGCTCTCAACTGAACAGAGTCGAGTTGATCGCCTAGCTATCGTATGCAGCGAAACTGCATATACCTAACAATCAGATGACCATTGCAGCTATAAACTGAGGCTCGGCTTCTCATTTGGAGGGTAAATCCATTACCTATTTTCTGCGATCAATTCTTCAGTTCGTGTAAATGAAGAACTTCCGGGTTGGTTCGCGGGGCTCTAATGATTAGGCGTTTTCGTTGAAGGTCTCTGATATGAGCTGGAAGCAAGATAATCCGCGACATGTAGTTCTATTATTTTTTTCCATTCTCTAAGTTCGAAGTTTTATTCCACTCTCATACTGTCAAACTACCTACATAATGAGCACCTAGATAAAAGTGGAAATGTTTCCTTAGATTTAAAGCATATATTATATTATTGTAAAAAATCTCAATATTCTATAAAAATACAAATTAACCTAAGTACAAGGAAGGCGCGATTTACTACTCCCTAATTTCAATGGGCGACTTAATTTTAATCGCGTTTTCATGTTTTCAACATCATGGAATCGTTTTCGTATCGTACGCCAAAAACCAATCAACCCTCTATTGAATAAATGATGAAGCCGATTTGCCAATATTTCGGACATATGCATGGCTTCACTTGCATGTACCTGAAGTTTGGACAGTTGATCTGCGACCAGTTTTCGCAGAGACGCGAACGTGTGAGTCCCGCGCGCACTCAGCTGCACGCAGTCAGCAGAAAAATACAACAAAATTGTATAAGAAGCGCATTCGTTACTTCTCTCAAGTCATGAGAAAGAAAAAATTTTTTGATCTGTAATTAAGAACGTAATAACTCACTTTATCGCATCATCACGAACCAGTTCGCTGCCTACGTTCTATAGCACCAGCTACAGAGGGAACATAGTAATATTGAGATCAGCGAAACTGAAATTAAATTCTACTGAAGTAGACTGGACTATCCAAAGACAATATGCGTGTTATAGTATTCTTTACGATGTGCATGCTGGGGCTGGGGCAGGAGGGACTGTGTTGCCATAAGGACTGGAAGCCAGTGTCTGCAGACCCTGCCGTGTTGGCCACTTTGAAGGGTCAAAACAGCTCCCGCATTCTTGGGTCCCGAACGCAATGCTGGAGCTGGGCTTCTGCAAAGGACTGGACTTTCATAGCCTGCTACACTCCTCTTACGGGTTTGTCGGGGAACTGCACCTTGTGGGATGACAAGCCCATCAGAAATGGGCAGGTGAACCTGACGGTCTCAACAGGATCAAACAACTGCATGACTGTCTTCGGGACTGACGGTTAGTATATGTGCGGCAAAAACCCTCATGAAATTCTTATTTTGACGCGTCTTTTTTAAACTATCATGTTACTTGGAATAATGCAAAAGTCAGTCAGACCGAATAAATTTCAGTCTAGAGTTAAAATATTATATTTGTATAATATTGTCTAACCCATTCAACAGATTTTTTCGCGCATGATGAAAATAACTCCATTTGACATTCCATTACATACTCAGCCTACATGAACTTTATGGATATATGATTATTATTAGATTTTGTGGCGTTGTATGAGCGCTTGGCCCAAATCTGTAAATTCTGGATAACCTATTTCGTTCTCGCACATGTCGGTTTTGACTGAGCAGCGAGTGCTTGACATTGTCGTTTTCCACACATCATTTGCTGCTACACAAATGCAGACAATGAGTAATTTTCAGAAAATGGGTTCAAAAGTTTGAATTGTTCGTAGTTACTTCAAATAGTTTAATTTATGGTGCTATAAATTACTCCAAGTGTTTCATACTTTTTCTAACTTGACTCAAGTCTCAAGTTAAATCATTCAAAATTAGATTGTCTCAATCACGCATTTGATGCCCATGCACTTAATAGCGCATGGTGCGTTTTCGGTCTAATCGGAATTAGTAAACGTTGAGCAATTCACAATATTTTTGAGTTCGTGAGTGCGTTTTTCTATGTGTATAGACTTGAATAGAATATTTTCGCCTATTTTGTTTTGATAATGTCGTTATTGCTAACATTTTTTGCTCTCAAAAATTGATTGTCAGTTTATTAAAATTAAAATTTAATTTAATTGTTTAGTTTTATTTCATTAAAAAAGTTGTCAGTCAATATTCCTCTGTATGTTTTTATGGCTTGCAAGATTATGCAAATGGCAAAATTTAACTTATTTTATTAGATGCACGACAGCATCCTAGAAAATTTATCACCTGGCTGAAGAAAGCAAAGTCGAAAAAGATTATTTTTCTTTTAACATGCCGCAAGGACAGTTAGCATAGAGATTGGAATTCTGTAGCGTACCTGATCGCAATGCAACAAATCGACAGTGTGTTGTTATAATTTCGAAAATTTTCGAGTTATTGAACTACCAAAGCCGCTCATCCCATACCTTCTTTTCCGCAGCTTGTGTCGTGCCGGGAAATTCCCTCCTGAAGGTCGGAGACACGCGAGCCAACCCGTTCTGCACGAACCTGCAGGACGTGTGTCTGCCCAGTGGCATGATGGACGTGAATAGTAAGAAAGGCAGACAGGCTGATGATAGCAATTGGAAATATAACAGTGCAATTTTTTGGCACCATTTCCTAAGGTATTCAGAAAGAAGAAACCACTAGGCACTAGATCTAAACTTGACTTCGCGTGAACCTTTCGCTTTAGTGTTTTTGTGAACAGCATGAATTAATCAAGTAATCTCTTTCATCTCTTCCTTCTTCATAGTCATAAGTTGCGACTCTTTTATCTGTGCACAAATTCGGTATAAAAATTCATGTCCGATCTTTGCTGTAACCGGTTTTGACCTTTATAATATGGGCTAAGTCCGAACTGTCATGCATAGAGTGCAAGATCTACAATTTACTTTGATTTCCAACGTTACCAATCCCGGGTTCCAAAATAACATTTCGGGCAATCGATGGACTAGAACATTGATAGCAGTCGAGTTAATGCGGATTGCGAGTAAATGCAAGACACTCTTCCTGACACCATTCATATAGCATGCTGTCTTGGCCGCGTTGAAGCCTCTCTACGCAGTTTCGATCTTCTTTTTCGTGCCTTATTCCAGGCGTTCGTGAGATGCAGCCTGCATGTAGATACGCAGGCTGTAGCATAGTCGGTTGACACCATCCCGCCGCCGATCTCAAGCTCTCTATCTTTCCGTATTGTAGTGCGTAGGAACGGCACAAGGGAAGGCCAGATCGGAACGCAATTGGATGAAAAGTCTGCGACAGGTCTAGGCGCTTTTGCCTCAATCGTCCGAGAGTTTTCTATGACTTATAGCCGGGGCAGATGGTTTTCAGCGATTGCAGCGATTAGTCAATGTAATTAGAATGCGATCTATATAAGGCTGAAAAATTTTTCATGTATAGTTTAAGCGCATAATGTTCAGTGTATGTTACCTTACACAATTTCAGTTGGAATTTTGTTTTTAGTTTTAGCGAATGATAATTGATATTCAGCAGAATGAGGAGGGTAAGCTGCGGAACACCAGAATGATAACTCCTGTAGCTGTGCTCATTATTTATAAAGAAATTTCAAATCCTTTGATAAAATTTCGGGCACAGAATGGCAAATAGTGCGATAAATAATTTTCTTCTTATAGATTTCGTGTACGACAAAAGAAAATCCCTTAGATATAACTTAATTAACCTTGCTTCTTACCTTGAGTAACACATAAATGAAAGGAAATTCATTCAAATAGAACATATTACGAATACATTTAAATTTGGAACGGCTAACATGGAGGGTGAAACAAATATTATAGCCACAGTGTATCAATTTTCGAATCTCATTGAAATGAGCAAAAATAGTTGAAGAAAAAAAATCTCGTACCCAAACCTGTGAAAGTTGGTATTCCGTACACAGATGACAGAAATTGACTCTTACATTTAGTCTCTTTACAATCGAGAAACAATAAGCTATTGTTGGATCCCATCTTCATGATAAATTTATCAATGAATGTTTCAAACTAACATAATCAAAAAGAAGGTTGAAAACCTATTTTCACGGGTTTGAGCACCAGTTTCTTGGAGCTTTTACCAGTTTAGATTTAAATTAAATGGGATTCACAGATTGACAAACCGCGGCAGGAAGATGTGCCCTAACTTTCCTGTTGTGTAATTCGAATTTGAGTGTATTCATATGTTTATTTGAATAGGTTCCCGAAAAATCTTGCGTTTACTCAGATAAAGAGGCTGATTTTCATGTGATTTTACAGTCGTTCCTGAAGTAGATGAAAGGAACACCATGAATTGAACTTTTCCTAAATTAGTTCTGCCTCCGCAACTAGGGAGATAAAGATTTGTTTCTTGAAATATTCTCTCAAACGACGACCTGTATATGTAAAAGATTTCTGAATTGGTTCCTGCTTCAGGTTTATGGATGTTATTCCTGCGCGGATTGGGTACTCTCTTGTTAACGGGTATAGTTGTGCACAGTGCGCATCAGAGTGCCTGGGAATATCACGAAACTTCTATATACGGTTACACAAACGGCGTGGCAGGAGTTTTCGTTCTGACCTTTTTCGAGTTCTGTTTGCACTATGCAAACACTCTCTCCTCATTCTGACTTTAGCGTCCATGCTCGACAGTTCAACATTTTTGTGTCCGGCAGCAATTTTGAGATTTTGGGGTCCACCCTTTGAGCCTCACATTTAAGGATTTTATTACCTTATAGTTTTTATCCGCTGAAACTTTTTAATTGTTAAGTTATTAATGTTCCTTGGCCTTTTTATATGGATAGGTAGGTTCTAATTTTATGCGTATAAATTTTGATGTTTCAAATTATTATTCGTATATTCTAGAAGTTCAAACTGATGATGGGAGTTTGTCTCTGAATCCAAAGAACTGGCGGTAAATCAGTATAAAACGGAGTATTTCATTTCTAACAACATCAACAGTAAATAATATATTCTGGTAACGTCAATCTATGAAGTAATGATGAGTGTAGAGTTAAAAAAATATTTTGCTATGATTGCGATCTCAGATAATGAGGCACACAGTTTCCGTGAAATTAAAGCGAACTTACTTGATATTTATCTGCTTTTACATTTCTGGTTAATTTGCTATTTGGGTAAACTAATGTGATGCATACTTGTGAAGTGCTTTTTATAATGTTATTGTATTACTCGGCTATCAGAGTAAGAGCAACTACTGCAAAACTTGACCCTTTTTTCTGTAGAACCAGTCGCGCCTCTTCGGAACTGCACTCCCCCTTTCACTGTCTCTGGTGGCATGTGTCTCATGGTTTCCACGGCGAATAAGAAAACCTGGTGCGACGCGCGTGCATACTGCCTGTCGCTGGGAGCAGACCTCGCCACCGCGCGCTCCGACCAAGACTTCGCACAAATGCAAACGCTCTGGAAGTCATACGGAATGCCAAGTGAGTCGGCAGGAAAGATATGAAGGAATAAACTTTTCAAGAAATGCGAAATGTTGCGAGTCGCTACCACTGCACACTAGGTGTGGGTTTTCGTAGGTTCTCGTAGGCTCTAGATTAATGAAAATCTTATTGATTTCTCAAGCAAACTACATTGCACTTGAGAATTTGTAGGACCGATATTCTTCAATTAGAAGAGCGTAGCACACGCATGAAATGCATAAGAGTTGCATGAGTATGAGTATATATATAGTGTTTTCTAGGATATAGGTAGTTCACTCGAGGATTTGTCGAGAGATTTATTATTTAGTAGAGCAAAGACCATAAAAATGCATAAGTGATATATAAAATCACGGCGTGAAAAGTTAATTTCATGTCACTCAATGGGCTCCAGAAATGTTTGATTTCCAGTTATTTCGTTCAAATGCAAATTTTAAAATCAGTGATAAATTCTAAGAGTTTGCATGTGTAACTGGAAACACCGCCGCGAAGTTGAAATATTTACGGGTAGCGTGCCGACTTGGTATAGACTTTCGTTCTGATCCTAAACACAAGGGCTAAAGAGTCGCTCTTTGGTCCGGCTCTAAATTCCCTTGCGTTGTAGAAAGGAGTAATGAACACGATGACGTTTTCGTAGTATACAAACCGCACCAAGATGCCGACGACCAGCCACAGAGACTAGGGGTCCTAGCCCTAATACACTGCCAAGAACACGGAGATGAACAGCAAATGGCACGGTAACTAACCGCACCGAGATGCTAACAACCATACAGGAACGGGGTGGCAGTTACACCTTAAAAGCACGACTATTGGAGGGTACTAGCCCCCAACAAGCCGCTGACAATTAACTTGAGCGCAGAGGTTATTAGCCTCTACCTCCAAGGTGCGAATTGAACGGCTTTTAACCGCCCTACGCAGCCAAAACCTGGAACTATCCAAGAACTCCACCTACGCCGTTATTAGTCCGTTAGAGGAACTCATTAAGAGTTATGCCCAGAACTGCGGTAGAGTTTATTCTTGGGAGCCCAAATTTGGCTCTGCCTGATTCGAGTCGAAACCGTGTCACCCCAACCCAGCACCACTGAGCACACACAACTTCCGAGCGCACACAACGAGGGGGTAACTCAGCCAAAATAAGCTTATCTCAACACCCAGTTTACAATGTACAAGAAATGGGCTACTAAATTCGTCTACAGTATATGCAAAGATATAGACAACATAGTATATTACAACAAAATAGAATCATAATATAATCTTTTGGTCAAATAATGATAAGTGAAAGTTGATTTAAGTAAGAATAACTCGAGGATAATAGTTACTCGCTAGCGCCTGAGTTGATACCAGTTCGTCAATAGACTAGACAAATGAATATTGACTAAGCATTATCAAATATAATGAGAAGTATTATCACCTAATAAAATAATATTATTAAAGAGTTTAACATTTGGACGACATGACTATAAGTTATAAGCGACTTCTTATAAAACATCTACCTCTAAGATGTCTAGTTTCCTTACGCAAGATGGTGACGTAGCATCTTTAATTAACGATTGTATCGTATATTAACAACACTTATCTTGGTAAGTACAACTGTAAATCGTTACGATTATCGCAAAAGATAAAGTCCTTCGACAAAATAATGGCACAATAAAGCGAATAAATCTTAAACTAATTCCAAAGAGACCAAATTCTGCATTGTTTACGACTACCTAGCGCGCGTTATAACGAGGTCAGGAGCGGCTCAACCAATCACGTTGGAGCTACACCTTGTCTCGTCCCAAGACACTAACTAAATCTTACAAACACCACAGCTAGACGCGGTTCCATATTACAGTCACGAAACAAAAATATGCTCACACATTCCTTAGTCATACAAAATAATATCACAGTAACGAGATCCCCAAAAAATATATGCAATCACATTGAGTCACTAATCTAGCAAAAGAACATTATCAACATAACACGTGGTCAAAAGGGTACTCCTAAAAATAAAAAAAATATCACAATATTCATACCGTCACATGGCTCCCCACTCAAGCGTCAAGCGCCCTCGCTTGATAAAGAACGCAATTCCGGATCCTATCCGAAACCGATTGCAGCACGCTACTTTGAGGAGTTTGGATTCTCAGCTCTCGTCGCCCTCTTGCTGCTAAGTTTGCGGTGCGCTGCCGCTGCCAAGCCTTCTCTTCTTCACTTAGTTTGGGGCATTCCTTAGGGATTGAGGGGAAACCGAACATCACCGGAAAACTTGAAGGGTCGGTTTGCGTTCCTACACTCGCGGTCTCTCTAGCACAATCAATGGGAAGCAACTCCCAGCGTCCGTACGATACCGGCTCGCGGTGATGCTCTACCTCCATCACCTCCACATCCACCAGATTCCTCTCCACCTCCACCAGGTTCTTCTCCACCTCCATAACCTCCACATCCACTGGGTTCTCTTCCACCTTCGTCACCTCCACATCCATCGGGTTCACCGCCCCCACGGCCCTTCTTTGCTGACACTCCTCTGCCATTTTCCCGAGGTTTCGGCTGATCCTGGCGAGAGCCCTTTCTTACTTTCGCCGTCTCCTTCGTTCCTCATCATGCACTTTGTCTGCTTCAGAGCCCTCCTTTCTTCTACTATTCTCCAATTCAATCGGATCACCGCTGACCTCATTATTCTCTTTACGAGACCCAGAAACATTTTCTCTCCGTTCCTTCACTCTCTTCTTTCTGGGTTTATTCTCTTTTTCATCGTCCTTGAAACCGAAGAGCTCTTCAAATCGCTTTTTCAACTTGGCCCTCCTCTCCTTCCTTTTGGTGCTCCTAGGGCTCCGTAACAATAACTCCTCTTCCTCGGTCGTCACTTGTACATTCGTCAAATCCTGCTTGGAACCATTGATAATTTTGGCCACTCGGTTCCCCGCAGAACAGAGGCGTCTAGCAACCGCTTGCCCTTGAGGCAACTCTTGGGCCCCGGCGGTCAGGTAGTAGTTACTGTCTAATCCCACGCCTCGCAAGTGGACCATCCTCTGATGCCGTGCAGGGATTTTCACCTCGGTCATCGGGCCTAATGAGACCTCAGTTTTCCCTTTTCTCTTGCTGTTCTTGAGGGGCAGAAGGTCTGTTCCAACTTTCATTGACTTGGCCCCCACGTCAATCGCCATCCCCAGTGCGTTGAGGACGTTCATTCCGAGAAGAGTTTCACGGCGTCCCTCGATGACGTACCAGTCAGCCTCGCACGTGCCGCACGTGCCGGTGCCGTATTTTGTGACAACGTCACGCAAAACACCCTGTGTCACTACCGCTTCCCCGGACACGCCATAGAGACGAACACTGCAAGGCTCTAGTCTGGGCAGCCGATCGCGCAGGGACTGGTAAACCAACGACGGCATTACTGATACCATCGCACCAGTGTCGACGATACAGGACACGTCCCGCCCATTAAGGGACATGACAACCTCAATCTAGCTAGACACTTCGTCAGGTACCGAAGTTTTTGGTTCCTCGGAGTTGGAGGCTTCTTGCCCCAAGTGAGTCTTTATTTCTTGACGAACGACTTCTACTATGATTTTTGTGATAGCCTCACGGGTCAAAAGCGGCGGGTCTTGCATTGTTTCCATCGGAGAAATTCCGCTGGTGACAGACGACTCTGGAGTAGCCTCAACCGACTTCTTTTGACGGCCTTCCCCTGCAGCGGGACTATATCCGAGCCTTCTCAGTTCTGGATTGGACGAGTCACGACGTGGTGGGGAGCATTGCACTGTCGTGCGAAGTGCCCTGGTTCCCCGCATCGGAAACAGGAACCCACATTGTTCGAGGGACGTCGCCCCGGCGCGCTGTTTTCGTGATTACGTGCCGTCCTTCTGCAGTCTCGGGCCAAGTGACCCTGCCCACCGCAAGCTTGGCAAATCAAATTTCCACCGTACGGGACTCCAGCAGGTCTCCTCTGCTGAAATGCAGCTGGTTCAACTCTTAAAAACCGAGTGGTATCCTCAGTCGGCTTCAAATTTCTCCCCCTCGTACACATTTTCTCATACTGGTCGGTGACATATTGAGCTAGCTCCCAGAGGTCGTCTGAGTCTCGCTGCTCGGCTCTATGTCTAAGTTCCGGGGGGGGTCCTCCAATAAAAGCGTCAATCGCCATTGCCTCCGCCCCTCTTCTGTCGCCCGGCCACGCCTTGCGCGCTAAGCTACAGCAATCGGAGGCAAAGTCCATCAATTCTTCTTTGGGACCCCAAGTGCGCTGACTCAGTCTACGTCGAGCCTGGTTCCTCTCCTCAGTATTTCCTTGCCGTAATAGATGTACGCGCACATCGCGCCAAGTCAGTATTTCTCTGTCGATCATCCTTAGTCGTCGTCGCGATGACACGTTCAAAAGAGCTTTGAAGAGGCGCACTTGCTCATCTTCATCAATGTCGACCGCAGCACAGTAGTTTTTATAGTATTCTACATAATCCTCTAGTTTCTCAGATTCACGTTGTGGTCGTGCCTCGAACTTTATCTCGTAACGGCGCCTTGGAGGGATGACTTGCTGAGCTCCAGCTCCCCCCGGTATCTGCTGTTGCGCCTCGGCCATAGCGTCGAAGGTTGTGAGTCCGTCCGGTATATAAAAGCAGGAACGTTTGTTTCACTGCTTCGGAGCGCCGATGGAAGACACTCCAATCCCACCGCTGCCACCAAATTTCTTAACTTCACTTGTGTGACCGGAAACACCGCCGCGAAGTCGAAATAGTTATGGGTAGCGTGCCGACTTGACGGTGACTTGCTTATTGGTTTTAACACAAGGGCTAAAGAGTCGCTCTTTGGTCCGGCTCTAAATTCCCTTGCGTTTGGAGAGAGGAGGAATAAACACGAGGAACTTTTCTTAACTGTCTCTTATACACATCTAGATGTGTATAAGAGACAGATCCAAGAACTCCACCTACGCCGTTATTAGTCCGTTAGAGGAACTCATTAAGAGTTATGCCCAGAACTGCGGTGGAGTTTATTCTTGGAAGCCCAAATTTGGCTCTGCCTTATTCGAGTCGAAACCGTGTCACCCCAACCCAGCACCACTGAGCACACACAACTTCCGAGCGCACACAACGAGGGGGTAACTCAGCCAAAATGAGCTTACCTCAACACTTCGTTTACAATGTACAAGAAACAGGCTACTAAATTCGTCTATATGCAAAGATATAGACAACATAGTATATTACAACAAAATAGAATCATAATATAATCTTTTAGTCAAATAATGATAAGTGAAAGTTGATTTAAGATAGATTAACTCGAGGATAATTACTCGCGATCGCCTGAGTTGATACCAGTTCGTCAATAGACTAGACAAATGAATATTGACTAAGCATTATCAAATATAATGAGAAGTACTATCACCTAATAAAATCATATTAATAAAGAGTTTAACATTTGGACGACATGACTATTAGTTATAATCGACTTCTTATAAAACATCTACGTCTAAGATGTCCAGCTTCCTTACGTAAGATGGCGACGTAGCCGTTTTTACTTAACGATTATATCGGCTATTACCAACACTTATCCTCGTACAGTACAACAGTAAATCATTACGATTATCGCAAAAGATAGTCTTTTGACACAATAATGGCACATTAAAGCGAATAAATCTTAGTCAAGTAATATTTTACGATTAACATATCATAGAGTAAGTCTAAACGTGTCGAGGCTAGCAGACGACGCATGGCGTCTAGCAGACGATTGCACGCAACGCTACAGACAGATGATATCACAACAAAGGAGATTCCTAGTTTCAGTCACGAAATAAAAATATGCTCACACATTCCTTAGTCATAAAAAAAATATCACAATATTCATACCGTCACACATGGTATCAGAAAAAATTGCCTAAAACAAATGCCATAAACTTTTTTAAATGATGTCTTGATGCTATTTTGTAGAGAGAACTTCGCTTTTGATTTCGAGAAGCTTGTACGTATCTGCATCTAAACCTGCAGCAATTAGGAATACATCATGCGCTAATTCTGTATAGAATTAGCGCCTTCTATGTCCGGCGCTAATTTCAACATATCGCTGGTCTATATGGAAAGCTAACTAATGAAGAAAATTGATATGACTACTGAAAAATTTACAATCAAGTATTGATAAAGCTTTGTTTATTATTTGTGAACATTTTATAATGCCCAATAACGCATTGCAAAGTAAAATTCCTGAGAAGATCCGCCACAACATTTGGAGAAAAGAAAGACCTCTTAGAAAAGTAACTAGTAAAACTGGATCAGAAATTATGTCTAAGGATTGAGAAACCCCATCAAAAATTAGATAGAAAGACTGTTTCAGAATAATGAAATATAAAACTCAACTAAATAATTGAACTTATGTTTTTCTTCTTACGTAGATGGATTGGACGTGTTCGCACTGATGAAGTGCTCGCACGTGTATGAGGTCATCCCGGTGAATAAGCAATTAATCAAAATGATAATTTTGTACTCGCAGTCAAGTGAGATTACTTTAGAATTTAGATCTTGGTGGCTTGTACTTGAAGAGGTTATCTCAGAGGAGCGCAAATTTTTGATCGCGGTCTCTCGCCTCGTGATGCCTCTCAATAATAATTGGGCAAGAATATAGTGAGTTTAACCAGTTTTCCTATGTTCCTATGTGTGCAGGTGAGTTTCTGTGGGTTGGCAGCTACAAGACCGCTGATGGACAGTGGGTGTGGCTCAACAGCTACAGGAACCCGTACACTATGCCAGACTGGTACCCTGGAGAGCCTGGCGGCGACTCCTGCGGTCATCTCTACACCTCTGATGCCAAGTTAGCGGATGTGGCCTGTTCGTGGACACTTTACTTCATGTGTGGAGCTTCATCAGCTCTGTAACATGGGCCTGTGAAGTTGATCAAGCGGTTTTCACCATAGATCGTGAGCCGTATACCATAAAGTAACCTCGTTCTGCAGCACACTGAACTGATGAAAATGTACTGATAAAACGAAAATAACGCAATTCATCTTCTCTTCATGAAGGCACTTGACGCTTGCAGAAGATAGTGCACAAGCTCTTTCTTCCATTTTGGCAACTGAATTGTTCTTGCCAACACAGATGTTTAAAAATAAATTCACAATCTTGATCGACAATGATTTTTAAATAAAAACTGGGCCTATCATGATAGTAATAATTTTACATATATTGTTTACTTTCAAGGTATATTTACCGTTTAAATACTACTGTAAGCACAAGTAAAAGAAGATTAAGATCATCGGAGAATCTTCAGCGTTATACTGGCGAAGTTAACACTTTCGTCGCCCTGTTATAACTAATCGGTAAACAACCAAGGTCGCACGTTTTTTACCTTACCGCAGGTTTCTGCCGCAGCTAAGACGTGTGTGATGGCTTTTAAAAGCGAAACGATCTTCTATCGCTGATCCTCGCGGTTCTGTAGGAGAGACATTTTATTGTCAATGTAACCTTATTATATTACTAATATAAAACTTAATTAACCTATATTAGCTATTAAAACTTATAATAGGTAGCATCAAAACCTCTGTGAATTCTGAATCCGAACAAAAGAATTGAGCTTCGTTTCGGATTAATAATGAGGCTGGAGAATTTCAGAATAATCACGTGTCATTTATATTACTGGGATGATATTTCTAGTATCCCCGAAATGTTTGCTTTCATTCGGGGTATCTAAACAAATAAATTAAATACAGCATTGATAGTACAGTAGGTATACGGCATTGATAGTGCAGCGGAACTGTACCTAACAATCAAGAGGCCAGCAAATACAATATTGATAGTTCATTTGAGGTGACTAAGTTTTTGACGTGACCTCGCGTGACAAGAAAATGTTCTGCTGACAACTGAACAAATAGTCAAGTTGATCACCTCGCTCTCGTATGCAGCGGAACTGTACCTAACAATCAAGAAGCTAGTGAACTTAAGGCTGGAGGCTAAGACGAAGCTTCTCATGTGGAGGGAGAATTATTGCAATTTTTTTTCTCCCTATTCTTCAGTTCATGTAGATGAAGAACTTCTTTGTCCTATCACAAGTTATTTTCAAGGTCTACGAAAAAAGCAGGAATCAAGATGCTCCGCCACGCGATTTCTGTTATTTTAATTTCACTCTCAGAATGTCAATCTACATAAGTTTTGCTATAATGCCCTACAGCTTAAGAAATGCATTGATCACACCCTTGGCGCGTGTTGGGCACCTTAGTGCGTGTAGAACTATTACTCGGTAATCTTTTTCACCGTGTCCACTTTATAGTTTAGAAAATGAGTCACGCAGGGCTTATTGGAGTTTAAATTAATTTTTTTGTGACTGACGGACATGCTAGGATTTTAAACTCTAAATACAATAGCCTAAGATATTTAACCCTTCAATAAAACGTAGGTGTTTTTATTATATTATTTATTTCAACGTATGTTATTACTGCGGGTTTATCAGCAATGCGAATTACTATTTTGTGCAGAATTACGTACTCTTAGCAAAAGCTGGAGAAACAAGCGCGGAAAAGTTAAATAAATCTCACATAGACAGTCAATTTTCTAAAAATTAGTCTAGTATACATATGCTATGAAATCAAATACATATAAAATATGAATACGAGTTAGCATAAGATCCGTAAATAGAGTCAATCATTCCATATTTCCAAGATCACAGAGGGAATAGGAAAACTTTCAAAATGCAAATCATATGTATTCACAATAATGAATTCATGGATCTTGTGTATACACTTTATAGCGTTAATTTGCATATTAATTCATTGTTTGTACTTTATTTTCGTATGACGAAAACATATACTCAGTTAATAAATTCAGATTCGATAAGAAACTTTCTGTAGATTGAGTTGCCGTTAATCAGAAAGATTTTAAGGAGAAATTTCTAAATTTGTGCATCTATACATGTATTTGAACTGTAGGTTAACTTTTGAAAAAGTTAATCTCGAACTACAGTACATTGCTGAACACTGTATCGATATGTGTTGAGCAATGATGTGATGCTTTGCTTGCAATAGATATTGGCAATTGAAAGACTAAGACTTGAATTTTCTTGCAGTTATCAACCCCGTTTTCACAGTAAAATATCCCTATGAAAAAATTTACTAACTAAACAAAAATCACTCAATTAATCTTTCAACTTGAAGGCACTCTAAAATTGCAGGAGTTGTGCACAAGCTCATCTTTCTATTTCTGCCGACGTGTTAGTCTTAACCATGCAGAAATTTGGAAATAAATTTACGTTCTTGTTTAACAATGATTTTTCAACAAGGAACGTTTGCAAGGCAGACAGATTAAATCGCCAGATCTACGATATATTTTTAGAAAATTTTCTATTCCTAAGTCCTGACTGAGCGAGTCGTTCAAAAGTGAAGACTACCTTGGTTAATGTTAACTAGGAAATGACAGTGGAAAAGCAGGCATTTCAGTTAGGTTAGATTTTTCATGTGTCATGGCGATGTATATTATGGTACGGAATATAGTTTTAGAAGCTTCATTTAGGTTCGTTGTCGAATTGTGATTAGTTGATGTTGCAGACTAATATTTGCCCCTTGTTCTTTAGATTTTCATGTTTGTAAGTAGTACTTTACATTAAGGCGTAGTTTTTACAGCTGTCATTCAAATTTTTGGTTCGTTCAGCTCCGACTAGGAACGTCCCGTGTGTGTGCTATGCAAGGGACATTGAGTGCGTACTGGGGACGTAATAATGGGAAGCGTCCAACTTTAATAGGCTTGTTAGTGGTAGCGTCAAATCCTACATTGATCATCGTTAAAAATCATGAGTCTCATAAATAAATTAATCCTCGTTTCGAAATGATATTAAAGTTTAGGGATTCTAGAGCATGTACGAATCATTTATCAATTTATTTCAATGAGATGAAACTTCTGGACTCCATTATAAAATTAGTGAACAATTGTGATCATTTTTTTCGATCCGAAATTTGTTGCTTTTTACGTGAAAATCAAGTTTGTTGTGGCAGGCAATTCCGTCTTGAAATCGAAAAAATTTATCAAATTATCATTATTATAATTATGGCATAGATATCATACTTATAGCAAGCTATCATAATTATAGCACAGCGTTCATAATTATAGCCCAGCTTTCATAATTATAGCACAGCTTTCATAATTATAGCACAGATATCATATATAATTATAGCGCAGCTATCATAATTATAGCACAGCGTTCATAATTATAGCACTGCTATCATAATTATAGCACAGCAATCATAATTATTGCACCGTTATCATATATAATTATAGCGCAGCTATCATAATTATAGCACAGCTTTCATAATTATTGCACAGCTATCATATGTAATTATAGCGTCATCGTCGTCGTCGTCGTCGTCGGCATCCGTCCGTCTCGAGACGATGGGTTAGCTATCGGTCCCGCCTGCATCGCCGAGAGTGGCTGGGCAGACCGATCCTGGAGTGACAATCCAATCCACAGCCATCACAGGTGAAGACAGATGGCTGTCGCTGCTGCGTCGCCCGCTGTTTCCGTCTGAATCTCCCCTCGAGAGTCGCCATCGCGGCGCTCGACCTCAGCGCAGGACACGGCCTGCCCGACAGCGAGTCTCCAACCCTGGCGGTCAGCTGCTTGGGTCTCCCACGAGGATGGGTCGATGCGACACCGTTCCAAATCCCTCATGCAGATGTCCTTGAGGCGTAGTTTCGGGCGTCCCGTTTTCCGTCGGCCTTCAACGAGCTCGCCGTAGAGGAGGTCTTTAGGTATGCGGCCCGCTCCCATCCTACTGACATGCCCCAGCCGGTTGAGACGTCTCTCGCTGAGAACTGAGAGCAGACTGATCATATTAGATCGCTCTAGTACCACAGAATTGGGGACTCTGTCCTGCCACTGGATCTGCAGTATGCGCCGGAGACACCTCATGTGGAAGCCGTCGAGTTTCCTTTCGTGCCCCGCATAAGTGATCCATGTCTCGCAACCGTACAGGAGAGTGCCGAGGACGCAAGCCTTGTAGACGCACAGTTTAGTCTTCACGGTCAGGCTCGAGTTGTTCCAAACACGCTGGGTTAATTAGGCCATGACTGTGGCGGCCCTGGCAATCCTGCTGTTAATCTCGGAGTCGATGGACAGTGAACTGGAGATACTGGACCCGAGATAGGTAAAATTCTCGACGACCTCCAGGGTGTAACCATCCAGAACAATGCTCGGGGGAGTCCCAGTGCCCTGGGACAATCAATACCTTAGTCTTTCCCAGGCTGATGGTCAGGCCAAACTCTTTACAGGCATAAGCAAAGCGGGTGATAAGCTGCTGGAGTCCTCCCAGTAATTTTTTGGCAGAAATAATAAACTTTGTATAGTATGGATTTTAGATGCCGGAATAGTATAATTCAAAAATCAAATGAGTATATTTTGTAGCCGTCACTTCTGGTCATCTCGGGTAGCATTTGTTCATGTGAGTAGTTTTCAGCATCGCTACGTCAACACGTGACATTTTACGTGACATTTTTTATCTCGACTCTGACCAGTTCGGTACGGCGTGGAGACACTTGATATATTATCACATTATATTTAGGAATCTATTTTGCCGGACCTTTGCTTCTAATAGGCGTTACTCCTATACGTAATGGTGGATTTACCTTTTGCTGACCTATGCAAATAAATTTCAAGCTGTAGCTGCAGCCTTTACCTCTAGTTTTCGACTTTGTTGAATGTCGGCAAACCTTTAGTTCTGCTCAATGCAGACTGTAATTAAATCTTCTGTGTTCCATTTGCCACGTTTCATTGACATTGCATGAATTAAACCTTTGTCAGGAAACGTTAAGGCCATCGTTAGGATGGTTCGTAACCAACCATTGGCCGGATACTAAAAACCAGCGGTTACAAATGTCAATATTAAATGTAGTTAACTGACTAAGATTCGTTTTTGTACGATATTAGTTTGAATTTTTTTTAACAAACTCGGTATCAAACTCGGTCAAACCTAAAGAATACCCATAAGAGCCTGAATTTCATGAGAGCGTAACCTTTTAATGACTAACCGTCTGTACCGAAGACAGTCAAGCAGTTTGATTCTGAGGTGACCGTTAGGTTGACCAGCCCATTCCTGATGGGCTTGTCATCCCATAGTGAGCAGTTTCCCGAAGCGTCGATGAGAGGGATGTAACAGGCAATAAAAGCCCAGTCCCTTGAAGAGGCCCAGTTCCAGCACAGCGATCGAGACCGAAGAACACGAGAGCTGTTTTGACCATTAAAAGTGGACAACACAGCAGGGTCTGCAGACACCGGCATCCACGCTTTGTAGCGGCCAAGACCCTCCCGCACCAGCCCCAGCCCGACTATCAGTAGAGCAATTCCTATCTGCATCTCGTGTCACTATTGCTTCACTTCAGTTTGTATCAATAGGAAGCTATTTATCACATTCGCGCAACGCTTTTAGCATTATTTTTTTACATTGCTATTTGCAAAAGACCAGTCTTTTACATCTGTGAACTAGTCTAGAAAAGTACAAGAATCGGCGACAGGCCTATTCGTCAACGCTGAAGATACTATACTTACTAAACTAATACTCTTACTGCGTCTTCTGTCTGAAGGGCATTGTACTGTAAGTGACATAAGTTATAACAACGTTGGCTCACTTACTGAGGCCACCAGTGGGCAGTGTGCACTGTGCACGTGCGATGGGTGCGTTCGAGTCACTGAGACAGATTTCATTTACACGTGTTTCCTGGTAGAACAAAAGGGAGTGCCGCAGTTTTGATGAAAATTTAACTTAGATTATTCTTGAACGAACATGGAAGTTGATTGGTCTCAATCCACAACTTACAGAGAAGTTCGAAACAAATGTGAAATGACCGTCAGGGCTTATTATACTGTGAAGGCTCAAATTAACAAGAGTAAAACTTGATAATTAGAGAGTAAGGGGGTCATACCTTCCCCCATTATACAGTATCAGGCGCATTCTCAAATTGTTATTCGAAGTCTCGGCAGGTCAACGGCTTTAATTAAGAACTTAAACGCGATTGGATTCAAGCCTGGCGCGGTGCGAGATTAAAATTTTCATTCAGGCACGTGCCTCGAGTAAATGACACGCTTCTATACGCTTTAATTTATACGCTCGGCACATTGCAATATGCTTTACTTGTAAATATCTGTAACATGTCTCCAGTACTCTATACATGCGAATATCGGTTATGTCTTTCTATACATATTACATTTAGATAGCTAAAACATGTCTTCAATTCTGTTTATTACAGTGTCTGTCATATGTTGGCAATCATTATATATGCATCGGATTGAACGTATAACACTTGCAGATGAATGAAAATATTTTGGTTGTGACTCAACCTTTTAACGACTTATTTTAGTTTCCTGTTGGCTGCTGCTCAAGCTACCATAAGAAATTCAACTATACGTTGTATCTTAGCGGCAAACACGTCTCGGACAAATTTACGGCCATACTTGCGGCCGGTCTCACAGCCAATCTCCGAATTCAGTGAACACGTGCGGCAAACCAAGATATTTAATTGTTTCATTCTTCTTAAGAATGTTGCGTCCTCCAGTTATACAGGCTCATTTATTATTCAAACGTTAAAGAAATTATCTTTTCCAATGCCGTACTGACTAATTCTAGACCGTTATTTTACCTGTAGTATTACGAAGGCGTAATTAATAATCAATAACTGCTAAGAAACTAGAAAAATCAAATGTAATGTAGCAGAGTACGCAGCCCGCTGGTCTTTTCTTGCCAGGGATCCCGCTGGTGACCTGTTGTATACTTCATAGATTTTCTCATTAATTATTTAAACATTATTCAGTGTACAGGGATCCTGCTGTTGTGTAATTTATTGGGTTCGTAAGTGATCGGTCCAACGTGCGATTCTACGATTTTGTTGAAGGGTTTCTAAGCTTGTGGTACAGTTAAGATTGGAATTTCTTGTCAATTTATTTACATGCGAATGAATATCTTTCGCGTGTAA